AAGGCCCAAGTTTCGTACCCAAGTACAACGAAATATTTTGTTATCCATATTCTTGTACAGCGCTCTACAAATTTATTTTCATGGGAAACACCAAGTGGTTTCTGAAAGGTTTTCTAAAGGTCTTCTACAAAATCATTATGTTAAAATGTGATATTTTATGCATTTGGCATCTGTATGGGGGTAAACCAGATGAAACTCAAGTTAGTATGTAAGTTTCATGTTTGAATACAGCAGTTTAACACAGATACGGAGTCTCTTTGCCCGTAAACGGAATCAAGCGTGGATGATATCGCTTGGAATAGAAGATACGTTCATACTCGAAAAAGAGTAGTCCCGGTGGGGAAAAAACGATGTTCCTGACACGCATTGATGAACTAACTACGCCCGTACTGCAGAATGAACCCAAACTCAATACACCGTTAGATCCGTCCTTAAGAGCTGTACAAAACCCGATATACGAATCATGCGTTCAAGATATCTTTGATATCCGACCGGGTCTGTTAAGAGACAAGGTTAAAATTTAGAACACAAAATACGAGGACATTTTTAGATTAGGCGAAAAGTGACAAATAGAGCTTTCCATATTTTACCAGCCTTGTCCAAAAATGAAAATCTGCTAGAAACCATTATATGGGTGTAAGTTCTTAAGACGACGAGCATTAGTGTGCTAAAATTTGCTACCAATTATAATTGTCTCGGACCCATTCCGTTAAGGTATACTCCGGGTTTTAACAGTTCCCTTCCACTATCAGAAATGGATAACCGATTTAGTCAGATGGCTGTTCGTCCGCACTGAAAACAAGAGTTAAATGCAACACTTATTGCAAGCGCATACTGACTGCTGTTTTTCTCTTGGTTATGCACAAAAATAGATACATGAAAGATGAATTATTTTTAAGTGCATTAGCATATTGTTTGATCTATTGCGTATTGCGTCTGTGATGCTTTTTTATCTCATATGTATTGAAAAACGGAAAACTCTAAAAGATTTTCTATCATATTTATTTAAGCCCGTACTTTACATAATTTCTGCTAGGAATTTAGATCATGAACTATATGAACATTTTATTTATTTGCAGCGATACGTTTATTAATTGTGTTCGTTTATTTTCTCTTTAATTCGAATCGTGCAGCTTTAATTGATATTAAAATAAGTTTTATATAAAGTGAATAGGACAATAGTAGACAAAGAAAATTATTTCATATTGCATCTCATTAAGTGATTTATCGGATATCTACAGACAAAAAGAAAACGCTGAATATTTTACATGGTTGTCGTATAATGTTCATAGGAAAGTAGCAGGTAGAGATACGCTACTACGTTCAGTACCTTCAGTAGATAAGACCCATATACTGTTATGATGTGCCTTTAATGGAAGTTGCTCTTGAAAGCACATATGTTTCGAAGTTTAGCCTTTAGATTTCTAAAAATTTGTAATATGGTGCATTCTTTATGTTTTTCCTATACCTTGAACTTGAAAAAACAAAATTTTCATTTGTTTTTAGATTACGTTCAATCGTTCGCTATCACACACACACACACACACACGCAATAACATTTCTCTTGTATTCTATTCATTTTAAGCGTTTATATTTGAACATTCAGTTAATATTCGCTGTTATTTATTTGCCCAGCCAAAAAGCTGCATCATTATCGTCAGTATTTTTGTCAGTCATTAAAAACGTAGGTTTTTATTATCTGACTTCTTTCCTCGTTTATCTACAAACTGATGATCTAATTGTAATTTTTTTCTTTTAGGTTTTTAATCTAGAAGAATGTCTGCAGCAACATCTACTCAACCACTGAATTTTGGACCAGAATGGTATGTAGGCTCCTGTCAAGTCTCTTTATCTGAATTATTGATGTTGCTTTATTTTAGGCTTCGTGTATTATCAACAGGGGAACATTCCACCTCTCCCACTTCTTCGTCTTCCACATTGACTGCAACAAATTCCGCCTTTAAATTTTCTGCTACAAAATATCGCTACTCAAAAGAGGAAATATTATCATTAAGAAAAAATGTTACTGAAGCGATAACAGAGGAAATTCGAAATGAAATAATTGAAAATTTGAAAGATGTTGAGTCTGTTTATCGACCAACAATTATCGATCCACTCGCACTAACAACACCAACCGCAGAAGAACTAGTAAGGAGAAATGACCGGACGTACATTTTAAGAAATTCAAATTATTATTTGTATATATTTAGCATCATTTAAATTCTGTAACAAGTTTTATATCTGGTAGAACAAGGGATGGGAATCGTGTAGGAGGAAATCAACCAAGTGGAAATGGGGATGGTGGACAAAGACGAGGAGGATTACAACCAAATGGACCACATAGGGGTGGACAGAGTGGAAGTAGAGGAAGAGGTAGCTATTTTTTATAGAGATACTCTCAATGAATTCTACAACTTTCTAATATTTAACCGAGTGAAATCATATTTGCAATAGTAAAAAGAAGCTACGCTTATCAGTTTAATAAATTGTAGAGTCTCTGAATTTGTCTTTTTTTTTCGTTCTAACTTTAATGTTGGTCTTGTGTCTGAACTTTGTTTTATGTTTTTCAAGGACGTGGTGGTGGACCGAATGATGGATATTCTAATCGAGGAGGTATCACAAATCCGGAGGAAGGTGAAGGAGATGTTGGAAATTCGTATGGAAATCGTCCGAATAACAGTTATTCTAGACAAAGATCACATGAAGATCGGTATGTCTATTTAGTTGATATCACCTTTAAAAAAACTCAGTTTCTTATTTGTTGTAGTGATCAACCTCAACAGCAACAAACATTTCGGCGTCCTGGAGGACCTACTGGTGGCTTAAATCGTCAACATAGTGATAATACTGGTTGGAGACGATCTCGAGAACAAAATAATTTACCGAGAGAAACTCTTGAAGATGAACAATCCTGGGATGATCAGCAACAACCACAAGAACACGCAGCTAATAGCACATCGTGGACATCTTCGAATAATAGAGCAGCTGGTGGAGGAATGCGCCGACAACAAGATTTAAGAACAAAATCAGATGAAAAATGGAATGATGATAGAAGTATGTGTCATTTGTCACTTCAGAAACGGAATATACGACAAAATAGAATGGTTTATTTTGTGTTTTTATAGATAGTTATTATAGTGGAGATAATAATGGAAATAATCGAGGTTGGAGATCCGGTGGCACGACATCTGATCGAAGGTTTGAGGATCGAAATCCAGATTCATCCGAGCGTGAAGGGTAGGTTCGCTTGACCTTTGTTGAAAGTATAGAAATGTGATTCTTTATTTGTTTGAATAGATCACGACGAATGCTTCAGAGACCACAACCGAATGCCAACAGAAGACCGGATCAACAAGATCGTATGTAGTCCTGTTCTTGTTTACAACTCTTGGTTGACTTTATTGAAATTTTCTCAAAAATTCTCGATCTGTAAAAAAAACCTAGCATTTAGCGCGGAAATGAGTGCTAAGTTCTCGACTATATTACTGAACTGTCTGCCAAAGTTGATATTCTTCGCCTTGACCAAAAACAAGCAGAATTCGGATAAAAAAAGAAATTGTTCCATACTAATTTATATTCCAGGGCATTTTCTTAATAAACTCCCAATATGATTATTGGTTTACTATAGGTATGCCTGAATGGATGGATGATGACGATACAGATGCTGGAATGACATTTGATAAAGGAACATTTGTATCAACAAAAGTACGTTTATCTGGTTTAGTAACTTTTATTTTCTCACGATAATGTTAAATTTATTAGTCTCGAGATGAAAAACCGTCAACAACATCTTCAACTGAGAAAAAATCAACGACAACAGAGATAACTCAAAATAATAACAATAACAAAGAAACAGCGGAAAATAATCTTAATCGAAATGTATAGTGTTTTTTATCCGTAGTATTAGTAAATGTATTCATATATCTTTCTTTGGACTTTTTAGACACAGCCTGCTATAGAACAAACTGAAATAGAGAAAAAAGTGATTCCGCCAACACCGACTGTTTCCATACCGTCTACGTCTGAATCAACAAAAAATCCACAATCACACCAGGAGCAACTACAATCAACAGTTGTTGCATCATTAGTCATTAATACGCCAATAACACCAGTTTCAACTGAGAATGAGAGAAATAGAATTACACTGATAGGTATATGAAGAGTATATAGTATTAGACTTGTAAACAACTAAAACTTCTGTGGATTCTGGTATTGAAAAACTCTCTGTTAAACGATGTCGTGAAAGTGATTGTTCTGTAAAGATCATATTTTATTGAACTAAATATCGTAGGAGTTTCATAGCCCTAGAAATGCTTTTTTTCTGTTGATAAAATACATCGAAAAGAAAATTTTTATTTCTATTATAGCCAATCCATCTATCGAAAATCCTGTTCAGCCAAAACCAAACACAAATTGGGATGATGATGTCTATGAACCAGCTGACATTACGACGAAGGTTGTTGAAGCAACGCTAGCAGAGGTAAGAAACTGACAAAGGAAACGAAGTGTCAATATATATATATATACGAGTCAATTCAGAATATTCGAGTGTTACCGAGGCTGTTTCTTAGCCTCAATATATATTCCAATAGAGTATAGTCTAGTATCTCCTTTTCTGCTTCTTCTTTCTCTCATTGCGAGCATGTTAATTCAATTTGCATAACTTTTTCTTCGATTCCTGAACCTCATTGTTTGAGGCATTACGTAATGCACAAGTTAAGAAAAAATAAAGTTTAGAGAGTTGGATGTCTACAGTACTCAAAAGGTCACTACTAAAAAACTCATCTTGAACTTGTAAGTTATTATTTGTATATAATTCACTCAAGTCTTTGATGTTGATATAGCGTATAACTTTTGAACAAAATGTTTTTCAAGAAGAGAATAATCATGATATATCTGTATTTTATTCCTACTTGAATAACAGAATTGAAATTGTTTCTATTTTTTCTGTTTTAGGATCATGAGTATCTTTCTCCCAGTTATCTTGCTGATGTTAATGTCAAACAATGGTATTATAAAGATCCTCAGGGTAATACTCAAGGACCATTTTCATCTCAAGATATGGAACGATGGTTTTCGGCCGGCTACTTTACAATATTACTGCCGGTTAAACGTCATAGTGATATGCATTTTACAACTATTCGTGATTTAACCGAAAAATTAGGACATTTACCATTTACAAATATAAAGGAAACAGTTCCACTTCCAATCACACAACAACAACCTATTACCATTGTTGAACAACAACAACAACAACAACAACAACAACAGCAGCAACAACAAAATCGTACATTATTAGAACGAATGCAAAATAATGTTTCAAGTCAATCGGGAACAACGTTGAATACAGCCGTTGCTCATGCACTCGGCATCCAACAACAATCGCATCAACAAAGACCATCATCACAACCACAGATACCGGACCAATCACTGTTGTTTAGGTAATGAAAGATTTTCTCTATAAAAAGAATAGTCCATTAGAAAGTAGTGTAGAAAGTAGCGTGTTTGACTGTATTGTAAAGAACACTACTAACATTTTGAAGAATGGGCTTTTGTTGCATGTACTTCGCTCCTGTGAAAATTCACACTAACTAACTTATTCTGTACGGTTTTCCCTAGACAACAATCATTAGTGTCAAATGAAAATCGTCCCGGTTTGACATCGCCATCCATGTTTTATTCATCACAGTCGTCGCCGTCTTTTCAACCATTTCAACAACCACAGCATCAAAGCCAAATGCCATCCTATTTAACTCCAACCAATGTATCCGATCCAAATATAGCAGCATCGTCATCAATTCCACAGTCAACTAATTTATTTCATCAAAGAAGTTTATCAACAATACCAACTCCAGCTATTTCAAGTAAATTATTATCGCAAATTCAACAACAACAAGTACAACAGATACCACAAAACCAATCTAATGTTCAAAATTGGTTACAACAAGTCACTCATGAACAACAGCCAGGTACGGATAAGAATGATGTTGTTGAGATTGAGTATTTTCCTTATACATAATTACTTCATATATTCAAAGTCGACAAAGCTGAACCGAAGCGTTTTCAAATTATTTTGTTTCCGTTTTTCTTTGTACAGATGATACCTGTTTGCTTGTATTGTAATTATTGTGTTACACTTTTGCTTATTTTCAGGACTGCAAATGGGTCCTACTGTCGATTTATTCTCAGATATTCAACGACGTTTAATTCTTGGTCAGCAGCAACAGAATTTATTTTCTTCAGCGGGCTCTTCTCAACAGCATTCACACCAAACAGCACCAGATATTGTTCAACGCTTAGAAGAAGCAATGAAAAATCATGAACAACGTGAAAAAGACAAACAAAAGCGTTTCGAAGATGAAAAACGACAAATCGAAGAAGAAAGACAGCAGTTAGCTCAACAAATGGAAGAATTCAGATTAAAACAACAACAAGAGCAAGAAGACGAAAATAAAAGGTTGCAACAACGAATATTGAAAGGTAAACAAATTGTATCCACTATTGTATCGTTGAGTATTATTTGTTGCATGATATATTGTTAAATGTTTATAAATTCATGTGTGGTGCGGAATATTGATTCTCTAATAAAGTGATTGCAGTGACAACTTTGCACAGATGTGACAGTCTGACTCATCTCTTTATTGTAACCGTGTCTGTCTATTTGCTGTGTACATTGATCTGATAAATTTTCAAAAGTCTCTCTTTGAAAATTTGGCTTTTTATCAATAGAAAAAGAATTGCAACGTCAACAAGAAGAAGAAATGATGAATCGTCAAAAGTACGAAGAAAATCAACAACAAAATTTATTAGTCGAACATATGAAAGGCATGATGAAACAATTTGAAGAAAGAAAACAACAGCAAGAACAAAAACCGTCTACTCTGTCGTCATCCATCCAGCAGCAACAACAGAATGTATCGTTAAATGCTGTCAAATCACCATCACAAAAAGTTCAACAGCCGGCTGTAGCAGCTACATGGCAAAATCCACCACTTCCAATTGCTGCTGTCGACCCAGTGTTAGCCTATCAACAGTCTTTAGAATTTCAAAAACAACAACAAGCAAGAATTGAAGCACAAAAGTAAGTAAACACATTCTTCCTTTCCGAATGTTACCTATGTTTTTCATTACTTTAGAGTTGAAAATGTTCGACGCTATGAGAAACAGTTGCAACAACAGCAGCAGCAACAGCAACAGCAGCAGCAACAGCCTCATCAACTACAACCACAGTCCGTTCAACATACACAATTTA